CATCAGACTTTTTCCTGCTCTTCCAGCAGAACCCACTGAACAGCCCAGGGACATAAACACCAACAGGAGGCTGTGGCTGTAGAGTTTACACATCCACAAAACAAGGATTTTGCAGAGTAAAGCCATAGATGGGACTGGATAAGGCAGTGATAAAGCTGGGACTCTTCTCTTTATCCAACACCACAGAGCAGCTCTTGACTTCAACTTGCCTGACTCTTTTGCCCACCTTCCATATACATGAGTAATAGCTGAATCTGTTTCCTTATGTATTTAATTATTCCTTTGTTTGGTTTTATTCCAGTCTGAAAAATAACTGAAATAAAAATTATAATTATGATGACAAAAAGGACATTTGAAAGCAGCACTTACCAAAATTTCTATTATAAAAGTGCAAAGGATGCATCTTGAACTAAGGCCACAGCATTGGTCCTTCAGGATGTAATCCAAAGCAGCCTTCAGCTTCTTCATATCAGTGTAATATGAGAAATTTATTCACAAGTGGCACTGGACTAGATAATTTTGCAGTTGTGTTCTCCTCAAATGTAGAATTGGTCCAGAGGTCAGAGCCTTGTCCAGCTAAGCAGCCATCAATATGGTGACAGTTTTACAAAACAAAATGCTGAAGTTTCTGTTAAAAAACATCTCCATCAAAGGAGAAAAAAAAATTATGTCAAGAGTCTTATTATATGACTACATTAAGAAGATTTCTTTAATCAATACATGGTATACAGTCCACATAATTCAATTTGAGAAAATTTTAACTAGATTATATCTTGGCAAGAAGACCTTTTAGGTCATTTTAAACTCAATTTTTATCTGTCCAAATAATGAACTCTAGAAGGTTAAGAGATTAGCACTTCAGGGTATGTTTTAGTGCAATCAAAGCTTTCCTGAGAGGAGGCTATTGTACTGAAATTGTCAGAATCTTGTCTGGATTATCATATAGACAAGAAAAACCCCAAGAATTAATATCTGACACTTTTCTCTGTCAAGATGAAATAAGGCACAGACAAAGTGCTAAAAGAAATGCAGACAGTCATTTCCATTAATGAAAAAGTTTACCTCAAAGTGGTTGAAGGAATGCTAGGAAAAAGTAAAATAACCATTTCCCCAACACACAACTATAATGTGAAGATAATATAAATCTGTAAGAAGTTATTTAAAATATAAGTAAATATTTTTCAAAAGTAATTCATGATTCTCTTTTTAGTCATAAATGATCACTGTCTTCCTTTGGATTTTTTTCTTTTCTATGTACGTCAAAACCACAACCCGACTTTTACTCTGTGTTTTTGTTTTCATCTTTAGGGGAGAGTAGCATGTGCAAATCCCAGCATTTCTGTTCCCCCTGGCTTGCACTTCCACATGCAGAAAGTGGGAGGAGGAAGAGAACTAAGAGGCAGCCTGACCTGCTGCCCTGCCAGAAGGGAGGATCCCATCCTATGTGTGTCAGTTTGACAGTCTTGTGTCACATACACTCTTTTGAAATCACCAGCAGCTGAAATGCCACCAGGTCCCCGGCAATTCTGCTTCCAACCTCCATCATCTTTCCTCACCAAGAAGTTTTATTTTTACTTCTAGTGCAGTGAAACCCACTCCCCCCGAGGATGGGGAGAATTGAGCATTTTCTTACCACCACAGTCTTTTACCTACCAACAGGCCACCATGTCACCTGTCTCAGTAATCTATACCAAACTGTTCATGTCCTCCAGCCCTTTCTGATGCTGTCCAGTCTCTGACCACCTCATGGACACGGGAAAAGCTGCCTTGCAGTGTGCTGCCCCAGCTCTGAGACCCCATGCCTGTGGTGGGGGCCCAGGGGTACTTGTAGAAGCGAGGCTGATGGCTCCAGCAGGCACTTTGGGTAAGGAGCAGCTGCTGCAGCAGAGCCACCCATGCCTTGTCCTGGTGGGACACAGGGTGTCCTGGCTGTGCACTCCATGAGAACTGGGCAGTGCTGCAGCTCACAGCTCTGGCTCCAGAAGGGGCTGTTGTCCTCACTTCTGCAATCTGCCATCATTCAACAGTGCGGCCCATCAGCGATGAGTGAAGGCTGATGGACACACCAGCTGCTGAGGAACAGCCCCACAGGACTCCTTGGAGAGCCACAGCCCTGCAACTTACACTCAGGTCAGCAAGAATTGCAATCCAAGAGCCTTTTGTCTTTAAATTCTCTGGCTTCACCTGGCATTTGAGAGAGGCAAGCTGCTCCGTGCTGGCATGCTGTATAGGAAAAGCCTATGGGAGCCTGGGGAGAAGAATGGCTGTATTCCTGCAGGTACCCTGAATGGAAATCCCAAAAAGCATTAAAACCAGGAAATGGTGGTGTAATCCCTCCAGCCTGCATTTACTGTGAATGCTGTATCAGGCTGCAAGAAAGTTCTTTTGCTAGTGCCAACAGACAGACCATGTGTCATCTCCGGCCATCAGCCTCATTACCGTTTCTGGAGGGTCTGTTTTCCTACTGCCTGATACAGTCACATGTGAATTACTTACATTCTCTGTATGATGAATGGGTAACTTTGGTTATCCAGAAGAAGGGCAATTAAAAACAACACGAGGCCAACTAGACAGAGATAAGTGAATATTAAAGCATCTGGGCAGACCAGGTGCTTGAAGATATCACTGAAAAGGTCTTTAAGTAAAAAATAAAAAACAAAACCTCAATGAATTACCACCTTGACAGATTATTAAATGTTTAAAGCTTCTGGCAATAAAAGCTGCTAATAAAGAAACAGTGTAAACCAGAAGACAACAGTAGCAACAGTAATTATACTGCAGAATGATTAAAAAGCACACAGCTATAATGACTCTAATCTATTTTATGAGAGAAACTCAAAGGTTCAGCATTCAAAAAAATAATCAATTAGGGAGTAGAGGAGATGGAAAAAAATCTATTTAAACTGAATTCCTACAATCAAGTGATAAATCAGTCATGAATAATTGTAGGAATTACTGCACCTCACCATGTTTTGATAACACTGGCTACTCCATCAGAAACTGAGGAAAACTGCTCAGTTTCTCAGCATCCAAAGGAACTCCGCAGAGTAGTCTGTGAGAAATTGTTGTGCTCAACAAATTGTGCTAGTTGGCTAGAAGAATATCCAACATGACCAAAGTTAAGATCTTGGTTTGGAGAACTTTTCTTGCTACTTTCAGTTCAGTGGCACCTAAGAGGCAGGCTTCTTAACTCTTAACCACTTTTAGATATTGTCTCTTTTCCTCTCCCTGCTCTTCCTTTACGTTTTTCCTCCCCCAGATAGGAGGTGTTCACCTATCAGCTTCTCACAGTGATGCTAGCTGAGAAAATGCTGTTCTTGGATATCTGCCATGTCCCGTTTCCTCTGCAGAAGCCAAGGAGTTCAAAGGAAGAACATGAGGAGGATGCATGGGAAAATCTGTGGTGATTCCCAGCCCTTCCTCTCACAAAGCACTGCTCTTTGGAACAAGATCTGTGTGCTTGAACGTGGTGTTTCACACACTCCTTCATGCTCATGGCCAGGCAGCAGGATCCCACCCCTCATTACTTCCTCTCTCCTTAGCTGCTGAACTTGGATAGCTTCTGCCTTGGGGGGAGGGTGTCCTCCAGGCAGGCACTTACGTGATGAAAAGCCAGCTCTCACCCAGCCAACTGTTCCTGCTCCTAGGAACTGAGGCTCGCTGTTAGGTAAGGGAAGAGCTTCAGGTGATGCACCCCCCGCCCCGATCCAGAGCAGGGTGGTCCCTGGGCAGCACAATACTGGGCTCTCCCTCCCCTTGGCTTCTTCACCCTGCTCCCTTCCAGATTCCTCGCACCGCATCAGCTCCTCGTAACTCCACGGATGTTCACGGTCACCTGCCCCTCTGAGAAACTGCCCTCAGAAGGGAGATTGTTTTCACTGCACTCTCGATGGGTCCTGAAACTATTGGCAGGGAATCAGCAGGAGAGACAAAGACTGGTGTGGGTAGCAGCCTGGACTTGGGTCAGATTGAGTGTGCAAAGAAAAAAACTAGTATTGAAAACTTTCTACACCTGAGCAAAGAACTGTATTATTCTGAAGGTAAAAATATGTTACTCTGTTTCCCTATTTGTCTCCTCGTTCATTCTAGTGAGATTATTTTGTATATTAAAAAACAAGGCCTTTCTAAATCTTTTACTTTTATTCCTGTAGCTCTTTCCTCCACTGTTCCATTTGCAAAAAAACCTTTGAAACACAGAGAACTTGACACTATCAGATATCTGCCCTCCAAATATCAGAGAAAAAAACCCCAATAGCTTCCACTCCACAAATATTGATATGTCTATATGAAAAAATCTTTCATATGGGCTCTTTTTAGCATAGTGATGCTGGAGACTTGGTCTGACTGACACATCTTGATCGCTATTACCCCCTTCAAGGCCTGTGTGTGCCAGGATGAGATCCCTGCTCCTCTACCTTGTTCAGAAGATTCTGAAATGCTTCTGAGAGCAGAGGATTTGATTTGACTAAATGCACCAGATGCAAGGATTAAGTATGAAATATAAATAGTAAGAATGTGGATCAGATCACATGGAAAAGCAGTCTGTGTGTCAAGATAAAAATATAATTTCTCCTTTGATGCTTTCCTATGTAATTTCTGGGTTTGTATTTTAAATAAATACATTAAAGGAATTTTTAATATTGTGATTGAGCACCTCAACTTTCTGTAAAGTAGGTATTATACCCTTAACAACTAAATATTTAAAAATTCAATTTCAGAAGAAGGAGAGAGATAAATGAACTCCAGGAAGGACTTAGCTGTGCCAAAGCTGCTCTGCTTCTCAACATCTCCCTGGAAAAAATAAGCATTGATCATTATCACCATACTATCCCTCCTAATTTGCTTACTGTTCAAATTTCAGAGTGGGATGCAATTAATTAATATGGGTTTACATGTGCTATGTTTTTAGACCTAGTATCTATTGGCAGCCACTTGACATTAATTATTTGTATTATTGACCTCTTTGCATCATAGAAAGCTCTCTGGAGAAGAGTTTGGGAACGTGCCAGAGGTGGAGAGGCACAGTTGATGAAGGCGGGTAGGGAGATGCTGCAGTTGCACTTGTGCAGACTGGGAGGGCAAGTATTGCAACACTCTGAACTCAGGGTACTTTAGTTATTGCTATTGTTTTCATCAGTGAGGCTCAAAATGGAAGAAAAGCGGCCTCAGTTGTTTTAAATCCTTGCTTCAAAGGCATAGTGTGACCCTATTGAGCTTTGGGATGTGCCTGTGGCACAGAAGACAGTGAGAGACTTTCCTTGCTGCATAGAGATGTGAAAAAGCAGCCCAGGCCACCCCAGCTAGGCACTCATGAGCAGGTGAACTGAAAGTTAGAAAAGTCCCTGAGGTTTCCAGTAGGGATGCATACATACAAAATTAGCAAATAAACAAGTCTTATAATAATCAGAACATTAAACCTCAGAAACAGCATCAGAGAGACAAAGTTCTAGTTGTAGCGACGCAAATCAGATAAATCTGAGCACCACTGCCACAGATGGAGCAGCAAAGCCTCAGTGACAAAAATGGGGCAGGTACCAGTCTGAGGGCAGGTGATCCCCACAGGGATGCTACTGGACAGCAGCCAGGAGAGTAACCTTGACATAACTTGGGTCAGTGTAAGACCTTCAGCTGTCTGAGAAGGCCTCACCCAAAAGCTCATAGTGCAGGGAGGAAGTTAGCAATGATGAAGCTTCCTTAGGCTGACCATCAGCCAGATTAGAAAGCAAGAAAGGGAATATTAAGAGACCTTGAGGGCAGGAGTCAGCTTGAAAAAAAATAAAAAGGTACAAAAATTTGTGACTCTGGAGACAGACATTGAAATAGAAGAGTGGTAGTCAAAACCCAACTGGAAATTCAAAAAGTTGCAGGCCTTTGATAATGTTTGAATGTCTACTGTTGTGATTTACATTGTTGATATTCATCCGGAACACGTATTTCACTGATTGTTTTTCAATTATTTTTTATTAAAAAAAAGTAAATCAAAATACTTGGATCATGATTCTATTTAACCACATAAGTTGTACAAGTCTTTTCCTGAGAAAGTAGGCAAAATAAATGACACACATTGGATAGTAAGGAATGAAGGTATCAAAGAAACAAATTGCCCAGAGAAAATAATTCCTGCTTACCTGTAAGTGTTGAAGTTGGGTGAGCACCCACCCAATGCTCTCATGCTGCAGTGAGCTGAGGCAGGATGCTCACCTCTTTTTTCCTTTGCCTTGTTCAGGCACTAGACCAAAGACAGGAATCAAATAAGAGAAGATTAAAACATTTCCACTCAGAGAAAAGTTCTCCCCTTAATTACATGAGCAATAATAAGAAATTCAGCTTTTTCCTCTCCACATGCATTACACTGTGCAGTAGATTTTAGGGAGGTGCAAACAGAGGAAACTTAATACCAATACAGGATGCTGCTTCCCAGCCAACAGCACATGGGCAGAGAGCCACCACTGGAGGTACCACTGCTCTCCAGGTCAGAGGAAGACACACCTGTGCTTTTCGTATTTATGGCTTCTTCTGTGACTCTGCAGCAGAAAACAGGAAGAGACTGCAGATCATGGAGCTATTTAATGATAAAATACCGTATTAATGACTACCAGAACAGATTGAGAAGCTTCAAGCTTTAACAGCTGGCCCTAATCATTTATCACTTACACCCCAAGAAATGCAGCAGCAGAGCCTTTGTCTCCTTCCCACTAGGTGACTCACTTTTTGGGGTTTTTTCCTTTTCACAATCAGGTGCCAGCTCACTCCTCTTCCTCTCATTTTGCTTTAAGCACACGATGCAACTCCCAGAGGTCTGCTGGTATCCTCTGTACCCCAAACCCAACCTCCAAAGCTCCCTCTCAGACTGAAATGCACGTTTGTCTCTGGCGGCCTTGCTCCGTTTTGCGGCGTGCTTCGATTGCCAGAGCAGCCAGCTGGGGCAGCAAGTTAGAGAAAGATGTCGTTCCCATAGTAACTCATTTTCTCTACCCACTCATTAGATTAACACATTTTAGATCAAAGGTAGACATGAAAATATCTCAGAAATGATAGTCCAAGGCTTTACTTAAATACGAACTAAATCCACTGCACTATCTCAAAAAGCACTGCTTAATATCAGCACATACATCTATAGCTGCCATGCTCATTGTGCTCTCCTACCTCAAAGTTGTCAAAAGCATCATGGATACTTCATTTTGTTGCTAGTTTGCAGGCAATTGTTTAAGTACGCAAACGAACAGGTACTCCCCACTATCAGATCAGAGCTGCAACCAAGCAGAGAAGTTTGCTGTCTCTGTGATCAGCTCTTGGTGCACTCAACATTCAGGTAATGTTTGCAACTCTGCTGCAGAAAAGGTCTGATTCACACTCCCAGTGGCAGCAAATCTCTTATCGGTTTTGCCTGCCCCAAATTCAATTTTGTTACATTTTTAGTAGTCCAGCATGCATTGACTTAGTGGAAGTTCAAGCACAAGGAACAAACTCATGTGCCAACACCATGTGTGCAGAAAATATAAAACGCCTTTGGGCTGCTTCTGCTCCATCATCACACAACAACTCTGCCATGTACCAGAAAGAGCAAAAAAAATCCTGATACTGCATGGACTCTCTGCCACTGAATATTTCCAATAGTACTTTCTCACAAAATAGGCAGGACACAAGGTTATGGGACGAGAAACCCAGAGCTTTATTTAGTGGGTTTTTTTGGGTTTGGATTATTTTTTTTCCCCTGAAGTGCAACTCTACAGATGGAATATGAGCCAGTTCTTTTGATTCCCTTTCTTGTCATTCCTCTCTCCAAACTGATTTTATGGTTCTCAGGGGGTTTTGCCAAATATATATGCATACTTACACAATACCTTCAATGTATGCTGCTTGTACAAACTGCAGTTGGTGTAATGGGTCCTGAACATGCCTGTTATGTTACTGTAATGCAAGCAGTAACCATGAGCTTGCTAAAAACACTGTCTTAACCCTTTGCTGACATCCAAGTAAAGACTACTTAAACCTAACAACATAATTCAGATGCCGATTCACACTGGTATTTTCATGTTAGTGTGCCCTGTCTATTTTTGTCTGAGAAACAGGATTTTCCCAATGACAGCCTGCAGTTTCACCAATCTGTTAGAATCACCAGGAATTGAACTTGGCTCTTTTTTTTTTTCTCTACACCTCACCTTGACAGAAATCTCATTTGTCAGCTGTGCAGCCTTGGTGCTCCAGCTTGCCCCAGCAACATCTCACCTACTTTTTCCTTGGTATAACTCCTCACAAAAGTGCAATTTGCAGGTGACAAAAAATAATTCTCATCTCAGAAAGTTGCCCCAGAGTTCCGTGCGAAAATTCATACAAAAGGTGTGATCTATATTAAGAACTTAGATGAGCCAATGCTGTTCATCATTTCTAACAGCAAAGTCAGTGCAACCCTTTGCCTGGTGAGTTGGGGGCAAATGTTACATGTGTCCCAGTTAAGATCTCTCACATCAGATATTGTAATGCCCTCACCTAATAGCTTCACAGTATTGACTCATTTTAATTGTTCCTTCATTTCCTTTTGTCTCATTTGGCTCTCTAACAGTCCTTCCCTTATCTGCTTTACTCCTATAAAGAAAGGTATCCCCATATTCTTGGAAGACAGCTCACATAGACTCTACAGTGCTGGATGGTGCGTGACTGGGTCTTTGCTTTTGTACTGGGGGCTCTCTGCTGCTTTCTGTCACCTGGGGAGACTGAAATTCAGTCCTAGTTTTCAAGTAAACTGCAGATGAAAGAGACATTGCCTGCTTTGTTGTGCTGTAACCTTAGGATAGAGCTTTAAAATATATATGATTCTGGTCATTAAAAAAACTGCAGCTTTTTCCTGTCAATTATGTTCTCTATACTTTGCGCCTCATTAGAAACACGAGAGGAATCCAGGCACTACAACAGGATAGAAATGCCAGCCAGCAGCCAGTACATTTTGAGCATTAAAATGCACACAGTAAAATGGTAGTTGAATGCAAAGAACAAACAGTTTTTCTCTTAGCTTCTATTATTTTCTGCATTTAAACTATAGTAGTCCGAACAAAATCACAGACTTTTCAAATGATGAAAGGAAGCCCAGTGGTAAAGCTGACCATGAATTTTAAAAACTCCTACTACTTAATAACTGTAGCCCACTGGTTCTTCACAAGGAAATAGGTGCCAGCCATGCCACTACCCAGGCAATAATCATTCTCTGAGACTCATCTCCCTGCTTCTTTTTATTGGCAGAGGAGAACTGGTTAAGCTGCCCTTTTTCTATTGGGAAAAGCTAAACACCCTGCTCTCCCAAGGCAGGCAGGCAGGCAGCTCCTGGTCTGTGTGGCCACACAGGGAGGGAAGGGACACTTCCTGCTTTGAACTAAGTGCTGTTCCCTCAGGAAACAGTTACTGCTGTTCTCAGGGCACAGCAGAGGGGGGTCATACCTTTGATCATCAGATACCAAGGTAACATTGACTGGTTTTCCAGTCTGATATGTTGCTTTCCTCATTTTAAGCGTCCAAAAACAAGAGAAGAAAGACAACTGCTTTCCCCAGAAGAGAAGTCTGAAAGCACTCGTGCTTGTGTGAACTCTTTCTCTTGCTTCTTTTCACAAAAGGAGATGGCCAGCAATTAGAAGGCAGGCAGCGCTTTGGGAATAATTCTGCTATTCTCTCTGTTTTTGGTGTTTCAGAAGTTTCTGCTCAGTTAAATTCCCACAAACAGCAGATGGATGTCCTTTCAAGTCTGCCTCTGGACCAGACTCAGTGTCATTCATGCCTGTGAATAAGAGGTGCTTTCTACTTTGCAGGTAGAAAGCAACATACCACACAGATTTTCAAGGTTAACAGAGCTCTTCAGGGACCCTGAGATTTTACTATAGAAGGTTAAAGTCTGCTACACAGTGTGTTACAGGCTAAGAAGGAGGATAACATTCCCTGGTGTTTCTGAGGCAGTCTTTACTCAAGATATTGCTGGGGCGAGCTGACCCAACCCCAAAAGAGCTCCATCTTTCTCACAACTCCCTATCATTGCAAAGACAGAGAAAACTCCAGCCACCTTCTTTTAAATGTCTCTAGTTCCCTGCCAGCCCAACCTGCTGCAGCATGAACACCTTTCTATCCCCTGAGCCAAGTGATTTTACAGCTGGCTGGCAGGAATGGTGCTGCACTGACCAGGATCTACTGCTTAGGCCCTGGTGTCTGCGCATGCACATGCAAAAAGCTTATTTCAGTGTCTTGTATCCCCAATTTACACTTACTACAGCTTTACTTCAAAGTGCTCTTGGTCCTGTCACAACCTACTCATTTGTATCTCATGTTTAACTGCACAGCTACACAGAGTTCCTAAGCAATAACCAGCATACACCCTTTTTTTTTTGGTGCAATTTTCTTTCTTTAATTTTTTTTTTTAAAGTAGACATTACCCGAGCTGCTCCCAGTAGTTAAACCTGTCTCTGATTAAAATGTCATGCTCTGGTACATACTGTTTGTGTTCAACCCCTGGGATCCATCCACAAAGTCAATCAATACATCATGCAGAACACAGATTACAAGAGGTGCCACCCAGCCACCTTTATGCCTGCAGTTGCTCTCTCTCTCTGGCAGCTCTCCCAGCAGCCCTGCAGACGGCAGACGCAGCACAAGGGAGAGCAAAAGTAGTTTATTGGCAGAGATGCACACTGTAACACAAATTGCAAGGCAGCTGCCTTAACACATCCTGACAAGGAAGCTCCAATTGGGCTTGACACCTACATGATATACAACTCTCCAACTATACAGGTCCTGAGGGAGCGCAGCAGAGGCCTGCTGCCCGGGAGAGATGCAGGTTAACATGCCAGGAGTTAGCCAGTACTGCTGCTCCCTTGTTAATATAAACAGCAGCAACTTGCCTTAAAGAAGGAAGCACAAAGTGACCTTCACTGCCTGGCAGTCAGCAGTCTTAAATCCAGCAACAAACACAACACAATACCTAACACGTCTCAGAATGGTTTTTAAAGAGAGCTAGAACATAATAGCTGCCTCCCCCACTGTATCTCAATTCACCCTTCGACTTTGGCTATTATGTGCTTTCTTGCTAAAGCTTCTGTGGCAATTTCCCCAGCTGCCTGATGCCTGAGGGCTGTGTCAGCTGCACAGTGAGTGCCTCCGAGGCACAGGCACGCTGTGAACTAACACTGCAGGATGGGGCACACAGCAGCCCCCCTCAAACGTACGTGTGCCCACTGCCCAGCTGAATGCATTCGCTTCCCGAGGTTGCCAAGTGCTACTGAGCCAAACAGCTCCTCAAACTGTTACTCTCCTAAAAGAGCAGCCAAGTTCAACGTGAGGGAGCTACCCTGCAGATCAAGCAGAAAGATGCTGGCGACTTCAGCGAGGCAAAGATTATAACAGAGCAGGTGGCACTTGTAGGAGTACGTGCCCAGCTGAAGCAGCCTGCCAGTGTGCAGAGCTGCTCACCAAGCATCTCCACGAAGGAGTGAAGCAATCCTGGATGAATAACCTCCCACCAAACTGTCAGACAGTGATTCACTTTCCTGAAACCAAAAGGCTTTATAAAGGAAGTGCTTGAATTTTAGTTACCTGTTTATTAAAAGCGGTTTGAGTGGTGGTAAGCGATTTCAGGAGGTTTCAGGTGGTTGCAGCACCCAAAGGTGTTCTGGACCTTGGCATTGCTTCCTGCCCCTCTTCTGACATCCAGTATTTCCTCTGTAATGGTTGCCTGTATCCTATCAGCTGGTTTTCATCTTTGTCTCCTAGCACTCATGATGTAAGAAAACATATTCATAGGTTGTGACATTCTTCTCCAAACTGTCAACTGCTGACCCATCCCTGCTCCTCCACAATTTTCTGGATGAGACTGGACTTCTCATAATGACACAAATCAGCTTTATCAGCTGATATCAGTCTTCTCAAGCAATAGATACTGATTTTTTCTTAAGCTGTAAATCTACAATGCCCAATGTGTGACAGTGACATATATTTTAATATTGTGCTAATATTGCACTAACTCTCAGAACTACTCTCCCATCTTGGAGAATGTGCAGTTGGCTGGTGACAAGTGTCACATTAGGAACCTTGACCACTGCAGCAGACTGCAAAGCTCTGCTCTGACCACATCTCCTCAGAGGAGCCTGGCCTTTGTCCACCACAGAAAATCACAGCATCTCCACACTGTGATCCAGCTGACAGAACAGCTTCCTGCAGGGAGATACCTTAATCATGCTTCTCAAGTTCAGCCTGACAGCTGGTAACACACACAGGCCCACTTGGCATTCACCTTCCACTTAGCACCATGAAAAACCTGACGCTTGACACACATGACAGGTACCACCAGCATGAGCCATCAGCTGAACAGTATTTTTATTCCAAGCTACCCAACACACAGTACTTTATGAAAAGTCTCTGATTTAGGTCTATGTACATATGCAGAAAAGTATTTCAGCCAAATACCACATTGGGTTTTTGTTTAGTTTAATTTTGGGTTTTGGATGAATGGACAGAAAAGGGATAGACAGGCTCATGCAAAAAGAATATTAGGAAGCTGTCAGCTTCCCTTCACTATGATTCATGTGGTCCTGAGACACAAGGTAAAATCTTATGTTGAAGAGTAATACAGCAAACCAAGATGTGCTGTACAAAGTCATTTATTTTTGCTCTTCTATTGCTTCTCAAGTGACAGTCACTTAATAAAGAAAAATTTTGGGAGCTCTGTGAACAAATGCACTAAATGTACAATTACATTCATTTTATTTCCAGTCCCATCACATCCATGCCATTGCTCTTAAGGCCTCTCATCACAATGGGACCAAGCATCTTCAGGTACATGCTAATATGTTATCATTGGCTCCCTGATAAATAAATTATGCATAGGAAGGCAGCGTTTGAGTCAGATTCTGTGTTAACAGTCATTCAGCTTCAGAAGAGGAAATTCCATTAACTAAAACATATTTCAAGGTAAAGCTCAGGCTGAAAAAATATAAATTATTTTGATAGTCAGTTGGCCAGGTCTGAAGGAAGGGACCTCTTAATCTTAACAATCTTCTTGTTTATCAGTCACCAGAAAGAATTAATGTGTGACCCAAAAAGCACTTGTTTGGCCTTAACCCCATAGTTTGCCATAGTTAATATTTTGTAACGCATCCTGAAGAGACCACCTGGGGTATCTGGGATACATACTTTGAAAGAAGAAACTCCCTGCAGCCTCATTACATGTTTTAAATCCTGATTTTCAATTGAGAACATTTAAACGGGGTGTTACTTAGCTGAAAGAGTAAATTTAATTCAGCTACTGAAGACTTATGTCCTTAGAATTTTGAAGTTCTCCACTATATTATGAAACATCCAAATAAATCACGGTGGAGAACATATTGTTGTTGTTTGGGAGTTTTTTCCCTCCAAAATGTGCAAACACAAACACCAAACATCCCCTTGCCCCACAACGAAAGACAAAGAGGAACAAAACGCCTGACTTTGCCCCTGTGGAAATGGAGGAGAGCCCAGCTGTGCTCCACATGGGGAGCTGCATGTCAGCTGCATGGCTGGGAGGCTGCGCATCTTTGTGTCACACCTTGCTCTGCCCTGGGCCTTCTGGGTGGCCAGGGACACACACTTGTCACTCAATTTTACAGAATGGCATGGGAGTCAATGTCCCTTACCAGACAAGCAACTTTTGATCAGTTCACAAAGAGCCTCTGTTTCAGCACATGTAAAACAAGAGTTCATATTGCTGCTGGGTTGGTAGGCCCTGTGAGGCCATACTCTTCAAAAAGCCTGAAGTGCTTCCTTTCTAACACAGGAAAAGCCCTGCTTCAGCAGGATTTGCCTTTTCAGGGCCAGCACGCTGTGCTCAATAAGCCCAGCTGCCACCTACCACTGCTTGAGAGCAGGGCTAAGCCTGTGCTTTCTCCTGTGCCTGGACTTGCCTTCTGCTAGGGAATACAGGGAAAGTTGCAATCTCGGGCTGACGCTGAAAGGTTACGGAGTTGTCATTGCTCCAAACCAACTCTTGCCCCATCTGCTTCCCTAGCATCTGTTCCCATAGCAGTTCCTGACTCCCCCCAGTGAAGGAAATTGGTCTGCTGCACACTGTTGGTATGGAAAGGATAGGAAAGGAGGAAGCAAAACTGGCACTGTACCAAGCTCGTAAGTATTGTCAGGCCTGCTGAACAAATCTGTTCTGCACAGGGCACAAATCACCGGCAATGATGAAATTTTTACCTACCTCAGAGATCCCTATGGAAGTGCCAAGCACGAGTTTCACTTTTCTGCTTCCTGGACAGACAGGGTAGCAGTGATACGCAACTGCACTGGGAGGAATAGTCACCTAAAGTCATTTGTGAATACAGTGAGATGTGACTTACTAAAGAGCCTGAGACATTTTGGTTAGATCTAATAACCTCACACCTTAACAGATGCCATAAGTATTTCTATAGGGAAAAAGAGCAGAAATGTAGGGATGTACATGAACAGCAATAAAGGGCAGGGAAATGCAGGAAGAAGCAACTAATTGATATTAAGGAAATATAGAATAATTTGAAATACAAAATTAAACAATTTGATTGCAGTCAGGAGCCAGTTCATGTTTTAAAAACGTATGTGAACTTACAAATGCAGACATAGATAATAGTGTCAAGATTGCACAATAAAAATGACAAGAAAGGGCAAAACAAAACCAAGGTTCGATTTTGCTCACCAGAGCAAATATAGTGTCCTGGCACTCAGTAGCAAACTATGGTGATTGGGCTCCTAGTTGATGCTTTTGTGATGCCAGGGGATCAACTGTGATGTTCTGAGCACTAGGCAGCAGCAGCAGACAGCTCAAACATCTGAACAAACCCTTCTTTCTTCCAAGTCTGCTAAAGATCTGGACCTGTAATACCCCAAATTGTCATTAAATAATTTAGTCTTTCCTTTCAATTCTCAACCACGAAAACAGGCACCACATTTAATTAGTGTCTCAATTATCATTTAAATGTTTGCTCATCAAGTTCAATAAAGATCAAGCGGCTGAATTTTGAGACAAGTGGCTGTGTCATCAGTGATCTCCCAAGGGGTGACTTATTTAAAGGTTAGAAATTCGTGCAAAGAGTTCTAAAAAAGCATTTAATCAGTATAAATTCTTTTGGCTGCAGACCCTACCCCTGTGAGTAAGTGTCCAGTTCATCTGACCCTAATGGATTAGGATGTATTTCATGTGTCACAGGAACAGACTGGTCCTAAGCTGCACTGACAAGCTTCTGAGAGGTCATATCTCTCTAAAAATATTTTCTATCAAGCAATTATACTGTAGAAAATTAGCAAGTGATTCACTGAAATAACCTAACTACACCAGCTGCTGAAATAAAGAGATAGAAAGGTGCGCAGCTGCAACTTCAAGGAGGTGTTCTAGTGGCTAGAAATCTGCTTCTCAAAAGAAAGAGTCTTAGATTTGCTTGATCTCCTTCCAACCACCAATCATCAGCCTATTCCATGAAATATTTGTCTCTAATCACTGGAAGGAAAGGAAGACAGCAATGAAAAATCCCCAAACATATCACACCTTTTTGAATGAAGATGCATCATCTTTGCTTTTATCTCTGGGCTGCCTACAAAGTCTGGTACTTGCAGAAATGTACAAATTTTCCTTCAGCTTAGGCATTTGCAGCAGCATCGGAGATGAAGAGAGCAGAGTTCCTGAATTTCACAAGAGTTCTTGAATTTCACAAGCAAGATACATAAGGAATTCTTACTGCAAAGCAGGCACATTATTTGTAAACCAAGTGTTTCTCTTTTTCAAAATCCTGCTGGCCTCTAGTTGCCCCAGGCATTCCTTCAGAGCTCCAGCTAAAGACAGGACTTCCCAAGCTACCTCTTATCTTATTCTAACCTACTGCTTTCCAAGGCAGAGTATCAGCTGTTAAGCAGACCCTTATTACCCTACTGTTGGCTAAATCAAGAGGCACATCAACAAAGCAGTCATACAAGTAGACAGTCTTGATTAGTGCCTCAGGAGCCTCATATTTAATGTTTGTTACTCAGTGATTTGCAAGGTATATATTACCTCAGGTTTCAAATCAGTGGTAAAATGGCAGAAACATTCAGCAAGCTGAATCAGGAAACATCCATTGCTAGAAACTCACAAACAGCCCCCCATCAACATCTATGTTGATGTATGCCAGCAAGTAGACCAGTTCTGAATTTATCCGTTTTCTCATAACACCTTGTGTTATCTAAGTAGGGTATTTTTGTTTTGGAGTTTTTGTCCAAAGCCAAAAATCAGAGGTCATATGGCATTTATAGCCAAATGTCTCAGAGAAATCCAAGCAAACCGTAACAATTCAATTTTTTTTTTTTGTTCATCAAATATGTAATCTTACAAAGCAAAAAAAACTAATTTCACCAAGGCCATCAATGCATGATTCAGATTTATTACAGGAGTTTTAGTCCAAGCCTTGTGGACAGAGTTCTAAATCAACTGTTTCATTAAACTATTCAGCTGATGAACTAGCCAATCCCCAGTTCCTACTCACCATTTCACATTTATTTACTACCACAAGTTTTACCTGTTTTCAGCAGAGATTGTCTGCAACCAATTATATTTATTGCAAGCTTCTGTCACAGGCTTTTTCCTCAGAATTTTGCCAATTACAAAAGAGGCTTAAAGATCAGCAAACTCCAAATTAATATGGCTAAGATTACAATTTGTGCTAATGACATTGAACTAAAACAGCTTGGCACCAACTGCAACGATGATATGACATAGGGATACACAAATAATTGGTTTCTCAGATTGGTTGTTAACTTAACAAAATATATTTTTCCCCTAATTAGAAGGTTTGCACCTTTATCTTTAAAAACCCCAATGAATTAAGACAAGTAAGTTAGTTTTGCTGGTGATGAAATAAACTGCTGTTTCCATGTTGATGATTTTAACCCATACAATGCAATTGAAATGCCACAAGCATTATTCACCAAAGAAAGGACAGTTTTGTTACCCCAGTGCTTTGTTGCATTGTCTGCTCTAATTTCTAGGACACTTCAGGATCAGTAACCTCTGAACCAGATGAAGGACTGTAAGGTGCTGGGCTATGGCACACCTCCAGCTCAGGCAATTACCAGCTGGCATAGGTGTGTACAGGGGAGGAGAGAAAGATTTTCCAAGGTGAAAAGCAGCACATCAAGGATTTTACAAACTTCTCACAGAGAAGTCTGCACCTCTAACTCTTTTATTTGGTGTTGGTTTGTTCAGTGATTTAAGAGTTATAGATCCATGAGTCAGTTCCCAAACATTTCAGGTCGAGGTTATCATTGAATCATAGCCTTTGTGAAATGCCCTGTCTCACTTTTCATGCAGTTTTTTTCTTTCCTACTATTGTTTGTATTGTTGCCTGAGCACTGCAAGCAAGCCTCTTAATACAAGAACAGTGTAACTTTCCCACCTCTCACTGCATAGAAATAATTTTGCCTTCCTTCGTCCCCACACCCGATACATTAACATAGAGCTCATTCAAGACTGACAGCTTCTCATTTCTAAGCAGGAAGTACTGCAGAGATGGTGGAAGTGTACAGTGCTGTAGCTAGGAGAGAAGAAATACAGGCAGTACAAGCTAACCCCTGCTAGACAAATATTTGGTCATCACAATCCCTAATGTTGTCTTAGATGGCGTTTGAAAATTAAATAAAATAATTGTGGGAAGAAAACGGGGTGACACATTCTTCCCATCTTCCCCGTGCTACAGTTTACCCCTCAGCCTACCGCTTAAAAATGTTCTTACCTAAGCAGAAATGCCACAAAGAAACTTCCCTAAGCCAAAACCAATCTGCAGCCTGAGGTAGGGCAGAAAGGGAGAACCCTGGTTGGGTGCAGCCTGGCTCCCGTGCCTCCTGAAAAGGTCTGTGCACAGGGTGCTTTTGCTTTTCATCTGGGTAATTAAGCCTGTTACCTCCTAGTAATAATGCAGGAGTAGGTATGCAGACTATCCAACACTTCTTTAGGAAGAGAACAGGCTTATCTCTGCTGCATTTGCTCTAAGGGCAGGCTACACAGTTTCGGTTGTAGCCAGGAATAGGTATTTCCATCTCATCCTGGCATCCCCAGTGAGGCATTTTTATTATCACAGTTCAGGGTTCAAGCCTTAAACATACCTTCCAGAAGGAAGATAATAAACAGTGCAACATCCACATCTTCAACACTCTGTAATTCAACTGCTGTATGAATATGTGTGTTTGAACCCACCACTCACTGAGTTCCTATGAGACTGCCAACACAGCGTACAGACATTTTGGGATAACAGGTATTAAGCTCCCAAAGGAAAAGGTAAAGTGCAGACATGCCAGCCCACCTGTTCATTCAAAACTGCTTTAGAACAGAAAGCTAACTGCCACAAAAATCTCACTCTAAATCAGGAGAAAAATAATTATTAGACACACATATTAAGGGTGAATACTAATCTCTTGCTGAATGCATCCTTCCTGTCACTGTTGTTCTGCAGTACTGAAATTTCTTTGGCCCTCTCTTTTTTATAGGTGCATGTCTTACTGATGAAGACCTCTAAGACCAGCACATTTCCTTCAGTAGAGCTCAAAATATTTGATCAAACGAGACTGGTTTCAATATTCTTATTTTATGTGTAAGAAAACAGAGGCAGAAGGAAGTGATCTCTCAGCAAATCAGCAGCAAACTAGAAAGAGGGCTCAGGGTCACTCAGCTCTGCCTCAGCACTTCAAGGAGGCCAACCCAGCACTGCCTCAGCCCCCAGGCTGGTAAAAGCCACTTCTGTCTGTCTGTCCATCCATCTGCCCCGGGGCATCTGCTGGGCAGGGACCATGGGCTACAGTGGAGTCTCTTTAAAGGCTCCCACCAACCTTACCTATCAGCAGCAGCCCACAGTTGAAAAAGCCAAATATTAGTCCTTGGAAGCAATATCTTTTAAAGGGTAGAGACAACAGATGTCCATGTGTTACAGTTCTAATATAAATATCAAGTCCATTGCTTCTGTTGCCAGGCATTCTGGTTGTGACTTCAGTTTTCCCACAAAGAGAGTGCAGAAGCAAAGCACAGATGGGGAAATATTAGCTAAACCACCAAAAAAAAAGATATTGCTATTTTTCTGCAAAAGGAAACAACATTTTTAGAAAACACAAATGTAGTTCCAAGCTAAGTGGTTAATATTTTTTTAAAATTCAAATGGAGTGGCAGATCAAATTTGTAATTAGGATTTTAAAGGATGCAAAATCAAGACAGCAATCCTTCTGGCTTCTGCTATGGTAATTGCTTTTAGAAAAATCAATATATATTTTTATATTCATGAAATCTGAGGTAAATCCTAGAATAGGGGTTGAATCTGTTCCTGCTTCTCTAGAAAAATTTATCACATGGAGGAAACGCTCTGATGAAATTTAAAAATAAAAAAAATATTGATTTTTTTTAACCCCTTCCAAGAAATGACAACTATTTTCCAAAAGCACTCAAGAGGAAAAATATTATTTTTTTGGGTACTTTTTTTAAACTGACCTTTTTTTTTTTTCATGAGGGTAAGTTTTCTCAAATTTTCAGTCTTCAAGATGATCTATGCGCTGTTAGAAGTCTTCTGAAAATATACATAGTTACGTAGAAAATTTTAAAGGTGCACCCCACAGTGTTAGTGAGAATAAAAATCTTCTCTAGTCTGAGGAAAAACATTGGATGGTCATACCCAAAGAGTAAACCATAGGAGTGACTGAGAGACACATTCTAAAGGAAAAAAATGGGGCAAGGATCAACACGTTGGCAAAGCAGCAGCTTTGATAAGTATAATCAAGACAGCTATTTTTTACATGCTACTTATTTGCAGCCTCCAGACCTTCATGTTCTGCTGCTTATACATGGAAAAAGTATATTTTACAGTTTCTGTTACCCTATGGCCTTCACCTCACAGGACAACAAATTCCCAGCAAAATAAAGGAATTTTGAAGTTACAAGACTGTAGCCTCAAAAAATGAGTGGAATCAGCAAACCCAGAAATCAAATAAATGGCTAGCAGTGTAAGTAGAAAAAGAAAATTAAAAGTTAGGACCTAAAAAGGAAAATTAGCCTCAGCAGATATGTCCAAATATGGAAGAACTTTGTCAGTATTTGTCAACAGGAGGCAGTGAGTGCAAACTGGAATACAGGAGATTACACTCGAACAGAAAAAATAAAATTGCTTTACAGTGAGTCAAACACTGGAACATGTTGCCCAGAGGAGTTGTGGAGTCTCCCTCCTTGGAGTCCCAGTCCTGGACAACCTTCTCTAGCTGACCCTGCCTGAGCAGGGGAGGGGACTAAATGGTCTCCAGAGGAACTTTCCGACCTTAACCTTTCTCTGTGTGAATTTGTTTATTGGGTAAAATCATATCCCTGAGGCAGCCCTGTTGCAGGCTGCCTGCCTTAGTCCAGTGACTCTGGTCCAAACAATAGACACCTACTGCTTCCAAAGCTCATTTGAACCGCACTGACTCCACCTCATCCCTTGAGAAAGCAGCAAAAGAAAGTAACTTTTTTCTCTCAGATTGTTTAGTAAGGTCCTAGGCTGACTGCCAAACTCTTTAATTTCTTTTCAGAAAGTGAATCAAACAGATTTGTAACTCTAACCCTTCCCAAGTCTGGGGCAACAAGCTGTCATCAATGTGACGAGTAGGTTTACGTCACTGGTCACTAAGTCTTTGTCCACTCTGTGAGATTGCTCAGAAGGTGATTTAGTATAACAAAACACAACTATGTTAAAGGCTTTTCACATCACTCTTTAAAAACTCAGCTGGGGCTAAAATAGATCACAGGAGTCAAGCAGTAGTTACTGTCTTTTTCTGCTGAGTTGAGCTAGTTTTGGATCACTGACCAACTTATCATGTTTTGCTTTCACAACAACAACAAAAAAAAGAAACAAACGAAATGAAAGGAATCAGTCTACAGGTGAAGATAGATCCCGTAAGCTAAGTTTGTTTGACTGCCAAAGATCAGACACTTGCAGCACATTTTATATGTAGATTTGCTTCAAAACCTGCCCTCTATCTCAACATGTGTCTGATAACCTAGAGAAATCAACTGATAACTTTGACTGTCTCAGTGAGGAAAAACCCAATGAAAAGAAAACAAAATGTACCTCTTCTAATAATTAAATATCAAAGCCTACAAAGTCACACAAGTTGTCTCTTGTCAGATGTCCAGCAGAGAAAATTTTACTTCTTTTTCTGAAGCATAGTTTAATGAATGTGATTTCAAAATATATACTAATGCTCTTATTGCAAGTTTATTTCCCACTATGAATCACCAGCAGAAAGGCAGCTTGAGAGATTTTAAGGGTAGGAGCTGAAGGCAATGACAGCCCAGCGTGTACTTGCGAATGGGAGGAGTAGAAATCAAAGCCTTTGCCCTCTGCTTCATGGCTTGATTGACCTGGCAATTACACAGGCCATTGCCCTGAGCTGCTGCAAACTTTCTTCCACAGTATTGAATCTTATTTTCTAAGGGTTTACATTCCTGATCAGACTTTTTTTTTTCAATAAGCACCTCTTTTCATCAAGCAATGGCTGACATATAAAGAGTGGGGTAGAAGCAAGGAAAGAAAAATTATGTAGGAGCAAATTATAAGTGTCCAAGAGCAAATTGACAGTGTTTTTTCAAGTGGAAGAAAATCATATTAAACACTTACTGTGTTCCAGAACATCACAGGGTGACACATTGCTGTGTTTTATCAAGGTATTGCATCCTTTTTCAAACCAAACCCATTGACTTTCCATTGTTCACAGACTCAACAGCCACATGAAGGCCATCAGTTTGGATTTAAAAGCCAGTAAATCATTTCTGCTCGCTCTGTACATAGTCTGGTCTTGCCCTTTAAGCTACAACTTCTGTACAGAAATTGGAGGTCACATATTCAAATGACTGTGCTGCAAATGAAAAAAAGATACACAGCTGCTTTAGCAGCCCAGGTATTGAAAATGAGGAGTATAGAAATATATTTTTATTCCACTTGTGTTGCTAAGGGAAAAAAATGTTTCTGAGATTCTCCAGTAAGATTTTGCTACAAAAATATTCCAACATTCTGCAACTTGACTACAAAGGAGCACACATTTATTAGTCAATCATACTCCTTCACAGCCAAAATGAGTGCCAAAGACTGATGTGCTTATCAACAAATGAAACAACAGCAGCACCAAGAATAGATAACTTTCATCCTCCCTTGTGGTCCATTTTGAAGTAATTAGACGCTAATGCTTTCTAATGGTACCCACAATCTGTTTGCTGCTCTTGCATGCTTTGACAGCTTGGGATAGGCAGAGCTGAATTTTTTCCTCATTGAGTGAATAAGGAACGTTTTAACTTCTATGAATGAGATGCAAACTTATTTTAAAGAATAGAGAAGAATTCAAATTCTGCTCACAGGCAGTAGAAAAATTACATACTGTACTTTTCCAGTTCCACTGAGAAGTGAGGAAAGATGCTTCTCCTTTCTAACAAAGTGAAGGAAATTGCTTTGGGCAGGCCACTGGCTAGACCAGGGCTCTCTGTGTCCTGATTAACCACTGGCTGCATCAGTCTGGACATAATTTTAGAGGCCAGAGTCAGGGGTGTGAGGGTGTCCTGCTGCCAGGTGCTGACAAGGTGCCAGGCAGCCTCTCCAGCCTCCAGTGGCCACAGGACTCACAGCACTGGTGAGGGCAGGGAAGGGCTTAACTGCAGATAGGGCTTAACTTATAGACCCTTATGTCTCTCCTCTCGATATTTGGTCTACTGATAACCATCACACAAGGTAAGCAAGAAGGGCAGGAATGGGGACCAGTTGTCATCCTTGTTTAAAACAAAACCACAACACACATGTCCCAAGCCAGTCCCAAAACAGTACCTACTGATTCAAAGGTTGTGACAGTCAGCCCATGCCCAAGAAGGCTGTAGACTGGTAGGGACATAAGGATAAGCATGCAGCTCCTGAGAGCTCCAGAGACCCCCTGACCTATAGCTTCAGTCCCTCTGCCACAGCTACCCTCATGCCCAGCCATGACTGCAGCAGCAGCTGTCTGGCACAGCAGCATCAGTCAGCAGCATCAGGCACAAACCTCTCCTTGTACTTTTTTATTCATAACTATGTCCTCGAGTTGGCTTCTTGAAATCACTTGGGTGTTACTCACCATCAGGTGAAAAGCAGAGGAAGAGCTACCCTCAGAAAAATGGAAGACAACGTACTAGGCAGTTGTTGGTCACATTTACCACTAAAAGACTGACCACCTTTTAATTCTTCCCGACACAAGGGAGGGGCAATCCTGAGTCTGAGTGGCAATGACAAGCATTAATTTCTGTGACCACCTGCCTTTTCTCCCTACCCTGGCTCCCCGCTCCCTCCAGCCCACCTCTATCTTCAGGCCCAAGGACACCCTTTTGGCTTGGCCAAGCCCCTGGCGCCCTGCTGTCCCAGCCAGGCTCCCTGGGCATCACCTTGGGGCTCCTGATAGAGCCCACTGCTGCCCCCAGCTCAGGACTCCCCTCACACTCGGGCAGCCCTGCTCCTCCTGCACCCTCGGAGCAAGGTCACCACTGCTTTCCCTGCCACTGCACCAGGAGCAGACCATCAGTGGAAGGGAGACAGCTGCTGTTACACGTACTGCTTTGAGAAGCCCACCCCTTCCGCTAGTAGGATCATCCCACCTCAGTGTGGATGAGTTATTCATCTACTGAAATGGGCAGCCTACCCGTGGAAAAATACTTTTTGCTTTGCTGTTGCATGAGCCACCACTGATACAGCTCTCAGCACAGGGCTTTGTTCTACTTCCAAAATATTCCCATCTGCCTGTCATTTCACGCTCTCCTGCCTTCACCTTCCTCATCCTCCCTGTTATTTCTTTTGCATTTGACACCTTGTCTTCTTCCTCTACAAAGAAGCACAGCCAAATTGCATAAGCCTGTTGCATAAATCCCAATTGCAAACCCCAAGATGCCTGTCATGATGCCTTGTTTCTGGTATTCTCTTCCCTCAACACCCCTCCATCCGCCCCCGACCCCCTGATGTTCTCTAGCTCTCTAAATCTTCAAACGAGAGCTATCTTACTATCAGTTTTCCCCTGATGTAATGCCAAAGGCCAACTACCTTGCCAGGTTATTAATGGCAATTATTACAATTACAAATTCAAGAAGAATTATTTTGCAACTAAATTAAACATCTAAAGTAAGGGCAAGTACATGTGACGAATACCCAAGAGCTGTCAAATCTCTGCAATTAGTATCTGTTCAGAGCAAAAGGAAAAGCCTCTGAAGCAGCACTGAATTACAGATCTTTGTGTTCTTTTATTACAATTTTTCATTGTGGAATCGGAGAGAATACATATCACACAAGAATGACCAGTTCCAAGGCTCCTGTGCGCATTCACTACATAAAATCTGAAACTTCAAAAAACTTACTGAATGTTTACCAACCCCACTAGAAAACAACAGTCTTCATTTCCATTTTGGTCAATTTGTGTAAAAAATCAAAGCAATAAAAACAAACAACTCTGCTGCAATCAAACCTATTTTATTTTTTCCATTGTCTGTTCCCTTCACCATGCTTAAAGCAGAAACAAAAGGCTTTCAGCCAGGGCTTCAGTATGCATGCCCAATCATGAAAGACAAATACTTCTTTTATCAGCAATGTATTGATGAGTAGACAAAGCTACTAAGATGGAGGTAAAGCAGTGCATCCATCAGAACTGCATTACAGCCTCTAAACTGGCCAGGCAGTGGGATCAAAAGAAGAAACAGACATGACTCTCCATTTAAAGACATTTGTTCAAAGCCACACTTTCTCCTTCCTCCACAGAGGACTTTGTAAAAATGTTTCAGAGGCTGCTGAAGATGCAGCATGACAAACAAACTGAGTAACAAGAAAGCTCCATGAGCGAAGTCATTCATGCTAAGCAACCTTTACTTCCCTGTTTGACAGCTAAGGATGTGGAGCTGCACCAGATGGGATAGAAATTTCCCCCCTGGGATCAGAGACATTTGTTCATCAGACATTTGTGCCAGCACGGAGGAAGCTGTGCCAGGAGAAGACATCACGAGCATTTGATTCTAGCTGCATAGCTTGTCTCTAGTGCAGGCAGCATTTCTTTACCCTCCTGTAAGTGCTGTTTCAGCAGCGCTGTAAGAACTTGCAAATTAGACAAATAGTTCCTCCTAAAAGTTGTCTTAATTTTCACCTACATCTTTCTGAGCTGGAATCTCAAGCAGTGAAAGAACTTTTAAGGGTGGTAGCTGGGAGCTCAGTTTTTAAGTGTCATCCTTTTTATTGACCTTTCTATACAAACAGTGGAATCATAGAATATCTCAGGTTGGGAGAGACCCATAAAGACCACTGAATCCAAGTACATTTGATATATCCATTGGACAGATTCAGGTCAATCAGGTGATTGGAATACAAAGAACTAGGCATACAACAAAATAAACCATCTAAATGATTTTCAGTCTGCAGGGAATACCTCTGGCTAGACAGAGTTGGCTGGAGTTGGGAAACTCACATGGCAGGAAGAAAATAAACAAGTGTATTCAATTAAGAGCAATCCTAAAAGCATAGCTTTTATAATTAAGGTATTATAAAGGAAACCCAAATTCTTCAGAGATATAAGAAATACTTAGAATTCCAATGTTGTTTGTCTGCCAGTCAATTCTCAGTAGAGAATTTTCCTGTCAGCCAAGTTTAAAGGCCTGGGCTCCAGACAAATTGACTGCTCATAAAAAGAAAATCCATTACATCAGAACTTTTCGCTGTATGCTGAGTTTTGACAGGCTGGAGAATGATGTCCCCCACAGAGTCAAACCATGTGTAAGAACAAAGCCCATATGGCTGTGTTGCATTGTTCTTCTTTCTCTCATCTCTCTCAACAGATAATTTCCGAGTTTAAATTTGCTAAGATCCCTAAACAGAAAGAAATCCAGCAAAAATTGGCATCTCCAGCCTTACTGAAGTTCCTCAAAGAGCAAATTGATACTTGGATTCAAAAGACTTCTTTCAGGTCATAGCTTTTTAAGGAAAACATGGCTTTCTGCAAAAATTACTGTACTCCATCTCGTACTTTTCACCTGCTCATTATTCAGGCTGTAGGCTTGTTAGCACGAGGACTTCCTACAGGCTTTTATAGCCTGCTAAAACTCCCAATATGCATTATGGCCTTCACACATTAGAGCTGCACAATACTATTAATAACAGAAAATGGAAGGGAAATTTACTGAAAAATTACTATAATTGAATACACACAATCCACTAACAATGTTTTAAGAGAAAAGTACATTACATATAAGAAAGAAATATCATTTTGTGTTATGAGAAGGGACTGAAGTCAGCAAGGCAGAGATAACACCACCTATTAATTATATCTATTCCAGACAGACTCCTTCCTGGCTTGTTTTTAAGTTTCATTAATGTGGACTCCACAGCTATGCCACTGTATGCCACTTTCACTGAGGCTTTGCTGCCTTTATAATTAGCAAGCTTTACCAAAGTCCTGAACCTCCTGTGTTGCAGTATATGCTGTGCACCAAGGACACGAAGGAAAAAAGTAAAATTCCTTTATATGGCAATATCCTTTCAGGTATTTGAAGGCTACTATTACACGGATCTCTCTGATTGATCTTTCTCTTTCTGAAAGTGTGATGTTCAGATCTGTATATAGCACTTATGTTGCAGAGTAAGTTGAGATATGAGCTAACAGCAAACATCCTTATAGATAATACTTCCAGTTACACTATTGACTATTACATCTTTGTTGCAATTAGTGCAAGCGAAAACACAACAGATCTGTGTAGCTGGAAATCAGATCCTGTGGTATAAATTAAATTTAAAAGCTCTTAGCCTCACATTTTAAAAGGACTCTCAGTATTACAGCAAGATAATTCATTAATGCTATCTCTTCATGTTGGAGAGAGATAACTTCCAACAGTAAAGACTTCCCAAATTTTTTGCCAATGATTGTCACACTGTTGGGATGGAATTATAAGATGTACATCTGATTTTTTTATACTGTGTTCAGCAACTATTATGAAAGGAAAATCCATGTCTTCAAGGATGTTTCTGATCAAACACATCCCCAGAGGTCTCCAAGAATCACAACTATTGCTTATTTGGCATCTTCACCTTCAGAAAATGAGGTGGGATAGAGAAGCAGCCACAGAGCTGTTAAGCTAAGTGGATTCTCTTACAACACCACAACACAGTATTAGCAGGAGGTACAGCAATTGAACGGTGGATAACCAAACTACCCAGGTATCACAGACCAGAAAGAATGAATCACAAAAAATGGACACAGAGCAAAACAGATCCAGGTTCTCAGCAAAAGACCAGGAAGTATAAAAAATATCAAAACTACTTCTATAAAGAACAATGAAAGTATTTCTGTTAATCTATTCCCAACCACCAAGCCCCTAGTTACAGCTTTCTCAGGTTTCTTGGAGAATTGGCTACTGAAATCAAACAGATGACACAGTTTCACACTGATTACAGTGGCACAGTGTGCCAGTTTCCCTCTGTCCCTTCACTGACGTGCCCAGGAACTGTCATCTCTTGGAATTTAAAGCCAAGGGTCACCCACATAGTGGAATGCACTTCATGTCTTTCAAAACATCATTAGGACATAATCACTCATCATTTCCAAATAAATCAATCATACCTCCAAGGCTGAAGTCTTAATGCTATACTTTATGCCTAACCACCTCCCTCTAAAATAGACTGTCTCTCCAAGAAACTGTCTGCGGGAGGAATATATATCTATGTCAGACCAGCTTCCAAGTAGCACTGAGTTCATTAATTCCTGTTAAATTTTCCTTTATATTTTTCATAAGTGTTTCTCCACTCCTTGCCTTTGCTCAGATTCTCTAGACAGATTACCATGACCCAAAGCTCTACCATATAACCCCCGGAACCATTATGAGAATATGTATTGACTTTTCACTTTGGAGCAGAGGCATGGTTTTTTGTTTCTTGTTTTTTATGTTTGTTTCCATCATTCATCTCATCTGGGAACAGAAGAATAATTTAATGTCTACATACAAATTCTAAAAAATCTGTGAATAATTCATGCACTGGAGGAAACCAAATTACCACCCACCTGCACCTGTGGATGTCAAGGGATTAATAATCATTAATAAGCTCCACTTTCTCTTAAACTGCATCAAATAATACATTGATCAGCGTCACTGTCAAGTTTGGAAAGCAAAACAGATGCATCACTGGAAGGCAAATGTTCTTTTCTAGATTAAAGAAAATTCATGAGAAGGGCACACTGTGGATCTCCTCACCCCAGACTTTGAGGTCAGCAACTCATTTCACAGGAGAAGAGCAGCATGCACTTATCTCACAGCTTCAACCTGGGAGTCCATCTTTGCATTAGGGGAAAAAGCCAAACAGATGAAAAATACAACTCCCATGTCATGGAGTGTAAAAGGAAATCAGCATTTTCTTTTTTTGTTACCAGTCAGTGAAACAAGTCTGTCTGACCCCCTTCCACACACACTGAGCTGTTCAGCTCGAGGAAGTACCAGTTCCTGCTGCTAGATCAGACCAATTTCCTCCTGTCTGTTTTGTAGGCAAAGAGAAAAAATTTATATCCTAGCAGCCCTCCTGCTCCAAGAATGGAGCCTGAAGTGTTGTCTCCATTGTGACAGCGGAGTTCAGGTCTCTCCAGGAAACAGGGTGCCTGGTGCTATATGATGCAGAGCTCTGTCACAGCACAAGGGTCTTTGCCAGGTTTTTATGCTAACCACTGTGAATTCTCTAAGTGTCAGCAACGCAAATGGTATATTTGATCCAGAGTTACTCCCTTTTGGAGATTCAGCACACCAGGATGCCCCCATCCCTCATCCTGAGAGAAGTTATGCTCCTGGGGTATCCCTGCCCTTCCCTCAGGCTTAGGGGCTGCACTGCAGCCAGGAGGGTCTCTCAGCCCTGTATACCCACCAGCTCCCCAAAGAGACACGGCCAGCTGAGGACTTGGAGCTTCTGCACCAGTCCCTCCTCCTCCATCCCATCCTTGCCCTGTTAAGGGCTCTTGGCTGCACATGTCACCATGGGACAGGCCCAGGGACACTGTCTGGAGCACCTCCTGCCCTGGGCTCAGCCTGCCACACCTCCTGAAGAGGAGGCACTGAGGGTGCCCTCCGGGTCAGTCCCAGCTGCACATGGTGTGTGTCCAAGGGCAGCACTTGGGCACTTCAGGCCCTGACCAGTGTTCTGCTCAAGCAGTGACCACTGATACCCCGAGCATGAGCCTCCCAGATCAGCACCAAATTTACCCTTTCCACTTACCCCAAATATGTTGTCCACAGTCTTCAGCTGCTTATATTTGCCTTGTTTGGGTTTTGTTGGCTTTTTTTGTTTGTGGTTTTTTTTTCGTTCTGGTTTGGCTTTTTTGGGGTTGGGAGGAGGGAGGAGGGAGGAGGGAGGTGTGTTATGGGGGTTTGGGGCTTGTTATTTTTAGGTTTCTACCCTATGGATAAAATATCCCCCAAATTCAAAATGAGATATTGATAATATAAGGAATAATTAGTTTCCAAAAATTTGCAAGGTAAACAAGGAACATTTCACTCCCCATGGCCTTAAGTAACAACCCTCAGTTTCCATTAAGTGTCTCAGTGTAAACTGGTAGAGCATTAAAGCATAGAAGTAGCTTCTCTGAGAAGCCTAAGACATTGTACTAAATCTATATAAACACATCAGGTTTTGATTGCTACTTAGGAGTAGTTACAATATGTAGCTCTAAATTATTTAACATAATTGTTTACTCAGTAATTTCAGGTTCCAGCACCAGGTAAAGACAGATGTGTATGATCTAAATCATCCTAAAATATCACAGCTACTGGAAGCTATTTACAATAGTGCTTCCATGTGAAAGATGCATGCTCTGGAGTTGGAGTACTTCTCAAGGAGGTCAGAATCAGCATGGACAGTGCTGTGTCCTTCACATCTCCTTACTTACTGCCTTATTGCATTGTTGTACCTAATCAGTCAGCTGGCTTTGAGGAAATTTGTGGCTGGTTGTAGTTGATGCCAACTTTATGTCAACCTCCCAGTTCTATCACATGGCTGAAATTACCCATCTGGAAAAAAAAAACTTAGAAAGAATATACTAGGAACATCTAGTGCTTCCCCTCCCTGCAAATGGGATGAAGCCAATCAACTGTGAACTAAAGTAAGAGCAGAAATTGGCATGAATTATGCAAACTATCTCAACTGAACATTTTTTTCCCTTCACCATATCCCTGCTTTACCTAAGGCAGAAAAATTCTTTCAGACAGCTGTTATTTTTTTTGGCTTCTTTCATACATCACCAGGAACACCTCCCACTGGGTTGCTCAGGAGATTGCTAAAATAACATAAGTAATACAGCACAAGTATTCTATCATTAGTCATCGGGATGAAGATCATTCTGGCTTTGTCTACTTCTCTCCGTGATTTCTTTCACTGCATCAGTACAGTCCTTTGTTCTCTGTGGACACACTCATCATTCTTCAATCCTCGTAGTACCCATGTGACAAGTTATTACACTCAAAGCCTTATTATGGGCAAAAGGGGAAACACCTCATTTGGGAAGCCAAGAATTCTATGTTAGACTAATTAAAATCCTAACAGCCTAACTAAAATACACTAAAGTGTTATTACAGTGCAGTTACAATGATATCAACCTTTGGAGTCCCAATTATCTAAACAACACCATGTACAGCTCAGCAAAAGAATCAAAGATTGCTATACAAAAGTGTCCTCTGATAAGCTCTCCCTTATCCTGTCCCTCTGGCTATCAAGTGTGACAGTAAGTTAGCCCCAAAGATCAGCCTAGGGAGAAGGACAGGGGTTCAAGTTTGAAATAATTTTTTAGCATCCCCAGTCCTTTGCTAGAAGGAGCATCATGTCCATGATGGGGTTTCTTACTCTCCTTTGCTGAAAAGCATGTCATCAATGGTTTTTTCCTTCTCCCTCCAGGGCCCACATTTGAGAAATTTAATAAATTTTCTAGGATAAATGTACACTTAAATGTTTATTCTCTGATGTGCAAGTTGCTATTGCATCCAAATTTGCTATAGGTAAGAAATTCTCTCCATAAATTGAACAGCTCTTCTCTTTCTCTTTGTTACCACTAAAACTGGTTTTGTCCAGCTCTACAGTTCTTTAACTGAGCTGTCAATAACCTTAAGTTTCCAGTATTATTCTTTGCCCCTTTCATTACCATCTCATGTCTCTACTCCTCTACATCACATCCTCTGACTTTTCTTATGGCCTCTACTGTCATACCACACCTACATTATCCCATGTGACTTTATGCTACAGCAATAAATGTTTCATTTGAATAACTGCTTCTTATAATTGCCTATATAAAATTAAGGTAATTCCTAATGCTTATACGAAATTAAGCAAGAGCAAAACAAATTAGGCAACAGCTTCCTTGTCATGAGGAAAAACAAAACTAATAAAAAAACTGTCATTGATAAACAAACAAAACTAAAGCCCTAGGATGGCTAAGGCAAAATCAGACAAAGCCTAACATGATTCAGTCCTGAGGCCTTACAAAGTAGGCAGGTTATAGGGCTATAATGACCAAGATATCCCACTCTTCCCAAAGCATCATAACTCAAGTCTCAGTGTCCTAGAGCTTTGTGGGCTCTTGAAGCCATTGAAACGTAGTGGGCACTTGTCTGTGTTACTTCCAGTTCCATATGGCCAATTATATCCCTTCACAGGCAAAGAAAATGCCAAGGAGATAATTAAAAAATTATTTAGGAAAACACCCCAGAACCCCACCACCCCAGATCCAGTTATAAATAGATGTGAATGCACCAGGTTCTTCAATTTGCTCCAGGCAGTCTCTGGTTTGCTTTTGCTTCTGTAAGTGTAGATCAAATTGAGAGGGGTAGAGAGCGTGTCTTTAGCAGCTGGAAAGGGGGAAACTGTGCATCTCCTCAACAGAAGGTGTATTACACACCCCAAGTACCAGTCAGTCAATTCTATGCTACTACTGGCTGGGAACCTATCACACTTGTTAGTCAGCCAATTATGCTTTTTCTTTTCTGCTGGATTCAAGATCTTGAAATTTTATTGAGGTATGTATCATTTGTGCTCATTATGACAAAGGTTTCATCTACGTAAGTTGTCACTTGGTTGTGGTTGTGGCCTCACTTTACAAAAGTTTGCCACCAAATTTCAGTCAAAATTGTCATCAGTTCTCCTGAAATACACCAGGTGAAAACAAACTGCAGCTTTAGCAGAGCACAGAACAGGCCTATGTGACTTTTCAAGCATCCCCTCAATATCCATCCCCAACTAGGAGTGGGAGGGGAAGCTGCTGGTCCACTTTCATCTTCTGAACACAGTGTTTCATGGACAATATCTGAAGCCTGTAAAGTATTTGCAGATCTTCTTTTCATTTGCCTAGACTAACTGGTTTCCACAAAGACTAAATATAGTGGATCTTAATCTACAAGGCTGTGAAAAAGTCAGTCAAGTCCTGACAGCATAAACCAAATAAAATAGGCTTTTTTTCCCTCCCAAGTATAATGTAGTTTAGAGAAGCAGATGTTACCACCTTATGGCAGAGAAAAAAGGCCACACTTTCAGGCAAGACAGCCCCTTAATACATATTGAAGAGCCTGCACAGTGGAATACTTGGTGCAATCCAGAACAGTCCAGTTTGTGAAAGCAAGTAATTGCCTACAGCTATCTTTTGAGACCTTGAAGAAAAGAAGAAAGCCATTGAAGAACGTACCCTTCTATGCTCAGCAGGGTCTGCAGTGCTACATCCTCATTATGCCAGGCACCACACAGAGTGCAGCTTGTAGAAGACTGAAGGCTGTAAGGAGATCCTCTACAGCTACATATATTTACAAAACCAGAACAGTCACTCCATTTTGAGCTAAGCCTATTCACTTTAATCCAATCTATACTTGAATGAAGCTGTCCTTATTCAAGCTTCCATGTCAGACCAATCCAACTCTGCTTTTGAAGAATTGTTGAGGGTGGAAGGAGACTCTTGAGATCCTCCAGTTCAACCCCTGCCCAAGCAGGGTCAGTGGGAGTGGGTTGCAAAGGACTATGTCCAGTCAGGCTTTGAATACCTCCAAGAATGATGACTCCAAAACCTCTCTGGATCATCCATGCCAGTGCTCAATCACCCATATAGTAAAAAAGTGTTTTCTTATGGAATTGGATGGAATTTTCTGTGTTTCAGTAGTGCCCACTGCCTCTTGTCCTGCCACTAGGTACTACCGAGAATAGTTTGGCTCTGTCTTCTTGACACTCCCATCAGATATTTTTACACATTGATAAGATCTCCACATGCTTACTCTTCTCCTGGCTGATGAGTCAAAGCTGTCTCACAGCCTTTCCTCATGTGAAAAATGCTCTGTCCCTTTAGTCATCTCTATGCTCTGTCCCCTTAGTCATCCCTGTGACCCTTTGCTGGACTGTCTCCAGTATGTCCCTGTCTCTCTTCTACTGGGAAGCCCAGCCCTGGACACATCTCTCCAGATGCAGCCTTGCCAGTTGAGCAGTGGGAAAGGATAACTTCCCTCAGCCTGCTAGCAGCTCTCCTCCTAATGCAGTCCAGGATGCTGATGGCTGCCTTTGCCCTGAGGGTGCACTGCTGGCTGGCCATCACCTTGCTCTCCACCTGGACTCCCAGGTCCTTGTCTGCAAAATCACATGATCTATGATTTGAGCCTATAAACACACATGGGTGCAGGAGAGAGTCCTTGTTTCTTGCAGTGAACACTTGTGTCCAGAAGAT